TTTTTTTTTTTTTTTTAATTTCACTTGTACTGCATTCTCTGGCCTGCGCTGCTGCAACTCATCAAGAGAGCATGTCAAAGAGCTCTCCTCTTTCGGGAACTGTGCCACTAATTTTTTCACAGACAAGCAAAAACTCAATGACTTTGAAAGATGGGGAACTGTGAAAAACATTGGAGGACTACCAGTTCAAGTGATTTGAATTAAGTTCTCACCACAAAATTGGCAGTTTATGAGATGTGGAAAAAATGGCAACCAGCCTGAATTTAAAGCATCAATTTATTTTTGTACAAGTTGCATGTTTGTGAACCGAGAAAAGAAATGAGCAGCATCTAGGTAAAAGATAGAGTTAATTCCCACTTGCTAACTACTGACTGTACAGAATCGCAGAAAGCTACTTTTCTATTGCATCTTTTAAAATATAGAAACTTCATTTGTTAATTGGAATAACACATACTCATACGGATATACAAGTTATAGAAAAAAGAAAAAACTCACTTGCTTGCCATCAAAAATTTGTGGGATAAGCTAAGCATCAGGACTTGTTCATATTATAGTTTATTTCAAAGCTTATGCCAGCTTTTTAATAGAACCATACATTCAAATCACAGTAATTTTACCATAGACCTACCGGTCTAAGGATGAAGGGAGAGGCAATATCTGTAAACTCATTACAGCATAGCCATAAGAGGTATCAAAAGGTATCAAAAACAACCTTCTCAAGGCTCACAAAATTTTCAAGAAAATCCATTAAAAAAAACCCAAGCAACTTCACTCACACGTTATTTTGCCACACTTCAGCGCTGAAGGCTTTGCACTGCAATATTGATGCCTGCGTACAGCAAGACTGAGGACAGAAACTACATTCTTCCTGGGGAAAGGATTGTAATCAACTTACGAAACTGCCAGATGAAAAACTGCCTTATCACAGGGAAAAACACTAAGAATATGTAAAAGTGCAGCATCTAGCAAGGAGACTGTAACTTATAAAACTATTATTGATACATCTGCAAGGGCTCAGCAGTCTACAGCCTCTGCAACCTGTTTACCATGAATTTTTTCTGTAATACTATAAGAAACACATTATGGTTTACCAGTACACATGCTCATGCGATATTCATAGATCTCAAATCTTAGGAATTGATAAGTAATATAGAATATACTTTCCCCAATTTTAAAAAGAAATATCTTTTTCATATTGGATATATTTAATACTACAAGAGAGATCTGGGAATTTCCTTCTCTCACCAAGCAGTCATGAGGCATATTCAACCAGGCAAACATCTGGTGGGGGGAAGCAGGGTGGTCTTCAAACATCGTTGCCCTCAAATTTCTTTTGTATCACTATACAAGCAACACCCCTTTCCAACCACCTCCTCTGAGCCTCTTGCTCTTGGAAGAGGGATGTTATGTTTGTTCATGACAAGAGAACTTTAAGTTTTAATGAACATTAGGATATGAGATATATCATGAAAACAGAGATTAAAGTTAATTCCAGCCAGCAACACTGACTGTTAAGACACTGAAATTATCCCTCTGTTTGAGAACTTTATCAGCACTTGTCATACTTAAGACTGACTCTTTTTGATTTAGTGAGCTCGCAGAAGACTGCTCAGAAAGGGCAGAAAAATTGCATGATAAGATATCTGCTTTAGTAGCAAAAAAAAAATCTTTAACTACTTAATCAATTATTGTTAGAGAGAGATTTAAGTCTCAGTTGTCAGATTTCCATTGTCCATCTTCAACTTTTCAACGCAGAAATATTTACTTATACCAAGCTCACTGCCTCATCAGACTTTTTTTCAATTTTATATATATTGCATGAAGTTTAGCTTCATGTCTCCACTAACCAACACAAAAAATGAACTAGATAATATCCAAGATTTCTTCTGTAGATTTTAACACACACTTCATATAGATAAAATTTTTGCAGCTGATGGCTTTGGTAGTGACACACTGACCTGTTCTTCACAAACATTTAAAGGGCCTTTGTACATTTTACCAAAAATGTAAACCAGCTAAATTAGTGTTAGGGTTAATTTAGTGTTAATTAGTGCTAACTTTATTTGGGAATATTTCCTGTACTAATTGAGCATATTAGGACACTCATGATCAATACAATACAATATTCAAGATACCTATAAACCAAAACAACCAAAACCCCAAATCTATCCAGAACTTTTCTTACACTTCCAGTGTGTTACATGCATCTGTCTTCAGGCAAATAAGTTGTTCAAGGCTATAATAAGCAAACTTAATGAACAACCAAGAACATATAGCAATTCATGCAGCGTTTTGTTTCCTTCATAACTATATTCACTTTTATATGCATGCACTTTGACTTCTCTCTAGCACCACTTCTCCTTGTACTGGAAACATCTGTCCTGGCTGCTCAGGACTGATTGCAGCCGGTTGCCATAATGCAGGTGAAACGTGTCTGTCCCTAGAAAGTAACAGACAACTCACTTAAGTGGGTTGCACAGGCAGAGCGATGCAACAACCTACCCTTTCCAAGTGGATTCATAGCATTCCAGTAGCATACATGTCAGCATGCTACAAACAGAAATAAACACAAGCGATGCCTCATGGGGCAAAGAAGAAAGGGATAGCCTTGGGATAGCATATGCAGCAGAAGTGAAGTAGACAAGCATGGGCTTGTTTGCCACGAGCATACAGCAAACTCTTCAATGCAGACAAACGCTGAATGTAATTTTATTGACAAAATATTTTGTAGGTATGCTGCTTATAATAAGAGAACAGCTCTTCATCTTACAACATAATACCAGTTTCCAGAACACAGACTACACTGTAAAAAGAACTTCTGTCAAGAAAGCCGCATCTTCCTTAGGGATTTGCCAGGATAATTTTGTAGTCAGAAGTGCAATCTTTATTCCACACAAAATCCTCACACATTTTTATGGCATAGCAATGTCAGTAAGCACAGACCAAGCTACTGTTCCATCATCCAGGATATGCTTAAGAAATCTGCAGCATGATTAAATTCCCTGAGGTTACGGTTTAGTTAAGTATTTCATCTTCTATTCAATCAGTGTTATTTTCATTGATAGTATTCTTTTTACAGGACTTAGAAATAATTAGCCCTGAACATCAGAAGTTTGATTCTAGGGGAAAATTTTTAGAAGAAAATAACCAGATACATTCACTACAAAAGACTTCTAAAAAGTGCCAAAAAGAAGCTGCCACATTACTTCAAACCACATCACATGGGCAGTGTGCGAATTCAATACCCACCGTATGTTACATTTTGCCACCCACTAACTCTGATGTCAGACTGTCTGCAAAAATTCTGGCTACCAGAGTGAGGCTTTCTTGAAAACCAGCACACAGACAACTTTGACTTTTTGTTAGTTAGCTTGAATAGCACTCTAGACGCTCTTTTTTAAAAAAAATTAAAATTTCAAAATAACCCAAATTAGTGGTAGACCTTAGGTGTAGGGTTCCCCCTCCCCAGCTTCTCCATCTTCAGGCTTTAATTTACTTAATGATGCTACCCTTTAATCGGCAGAAATTCTTTCAGATCATCCTAGTAAGGAGAAATTTCTTGGTGTTAGTGCCAACAATATTATTTTGACCTTATTTTTTAATAAAAACTTTTAAAACATCTATTTTATCTGCATGTTAAAGAGGTTTCTAATGTTTCTTGGAAACGTTCCCTATGGAATTAAAAATACTTAAGAAATAAATAATGGTTTAAGTCCTAAGAATGACTCTAATCACAACTATTTAACTACACAATTTAGCTTCACCCTTAATTTAATTTCTTCTCTAACTCCTGCATCAGTCTCATTAAAACCTTCTCTATC